CTCTACATTGCTTTCATTTTCGATATTCTCCATTTGTATTTTCTGTTCTAGCCTTTTTTGATATAATGATTTTATGGTCTTAAATTTTCTATTTTTATTATTTCCTCTAAATTGGTTTGTTTAAGCTTTTCTTTCCATCTTTCGTTGAATCTAATTTTAACAAGTACCAAATAGTGATCGCTTCCCACATTGGGTGACGTCAAACTTCTCACATCCAATATCTGTTTATGGTGAATATTTCTGTTTGTGACCACATAATCTATCATTGATCTATGTCCTCTTTTATTTTCAAAAGTGTATTTGTTTTGAATTAGTTTCTTCTTTAATTATTTTAATTAAACCAGTTTCCTATAAAATATCAAGTTCTATAGAGTAACTTTCAAATTTATTCACGTTGAAAAAACATTTAATTTAGGTATATGCAAACTATGTCCGTGACCAGGGCTTTTAAACGAAATAAAACTTTTATTTGTGAAGTGGAAAAATAGAAAAGGTGTATTAATTGGATGGTTTTTCGCACTGCGGGCCTGCAGATATATTCTGTGTAGTGGCAATTAAATGGGAGTATACTGAGAAAATGGAATATGGTAGAAATGTTAACGGAAGTGAAGTTAGAGCACTCGACGCCGCATTCATGTACTAAATGGAGTAATTAAAAGGAAAACGAAAATGAAAAGGGCGCGATAACAAAATAATTTATGTGGTAGTAACGTTTTTGATAAAACAATGTAGAACTAGAAAAAAGTGGGTTATTTTTGGCATATAGAATTTCGTTACAAACAACTAATTTTTTGTAGATAAAATGAAACAGTAGAACAGAACAAAACTATTGAATTACTATAAAAAAATAGAATGAAATAAGATATTACGTTTACAAAAAATCTATAGAAGAATTATGAACAACTGTAAAAATCAGGTAATGCAGCAGCAAAAGAAGCTGTTTAAGAAGATACGTCTATACAGAAGATCACTATTTAGTTTTTTTTATTATAACTAATAAATTAACAATCAGAATAAAACAATGTATTCTATAAGTTAATATGATGATTTTAGGTCATGTCCCTTAGTTATGTCATTATTGAACATCAATACATCGAGTTCTCGATAACTGGAACGGGGACCACTAACACGGTCCGTGCATCCGGGACGTCTGGGGGCAGATGCGGTGATGGGAATGACTGGAAAGTATTCGAGGAGCTAATTAAATGGAAAGTGAGCATAATGGAGGGTCAATCACCGACGGTGGAAAGCCTGGAGATAGTCATTAAAGAAGCGATGGAAGGAAGCAAGATTGGTCGCCAAGATGTCAACAGGATGCCATATTGGTGGAATGCGGACATCGAGGTACTAAGAAATGTATATATAGCAATGAGAAGAAGGTTAACAAGAGCAAAAGGCAGAGCAGGAATCAATCCTGAGGTCATCGAGGAGATCGAGGAAGAGTACCGCGCAAGGAAGAGGGAACTGTACAGGAAAATTCGTACAGAAAAAAGAAGGCACTGGAAAGGGCTGTGTGAAAAACTGGATGAGGACATCTGGGGTCAGGGATACAAGATCGTTATGAAGAAGTTCCATGCGTATCCTCCTTACGAAATGCCTATGGACAAGAAGCTTGAGGTAACAAGAGAGCTCTTTCCGGAGGGCAGATGTCATGGTGTATGGAGGGATGAAGGAGCTGAGCGGGCTGTACCCTTTACGATGGATGAACTTGTCGAGGCATTGGGTTCACTCAAGACTCGTAGGTCCCCCGGACTGGATCAGATACCACCTGAGGCGGTAAAGGGTCTAGGACGGGTGGAGCCTGTGTGGCTTCTGGAACACATGAATGCATTGCTGGAAGCACGAACCTTTCCTGAGCCTTGGAGGACATCGAGGTTAATACTGCTTCCCAAAGCTAGGGAAAAGTATCGCCCCATCTGTCTTCTTCCATGCATCAGTAAGCTATATGAAAGGATGCTGCGAGTACGCATAGACGACATGATTAAGAGGTCAGGTGGTTTATCTTGGAGGCAATTTGGTTTTTGTAAAGGGAAAAGCACGATTGATGCAATCATGAGTGTACTCGAAGCATTGCACAACAGAGGGAATGAATATCGCTGGGCGGCCCTGCTGTTGTTTGATGTTAAGAATGCATTCAATACGCTGCAGTGGAACGAGGTAATGAAGGCAATGGAGGAGAGAGAATGTCCTGGTTACCTGATGAATGTTATGGCGGAGTATCTGTCCGAGAGAAGGATTATGGTGGAAAAGGGCACGATCGTGGACGTGACGGCCGGGGTACACCAGGGATCTGTCTTGGGCCCGACGCTATGGAATCTGGCATATGACGGGGTTATGCACTGTGAATACGGAGAGGGTACAACCCCCTTCGCATTCACGGATGACCTCGCTGTACTGGTAGTAGCCCGGGATGAGCCAGATCTCAAATACCGGGTTCGGAACGCAGGTGGCGTCGTAAAGAAATGGATGACGCAGCACGGACTAAAACTTGCGACAGAGAAAACCGATGTCATTATTCTGAAGGGGACAAGAAACAGGCAAGGTGTTGAATTAAAATGTGCGGGAGTATGTCTAACACCCAAGAAACAAGTAAAGTATCTAAGAGTGACATTGCACCAGAATGAAAAATGGGGGAGCACGATCGGGAGGTGATCCGAAAGGCTGCGAATAGTGCAGCTGCGTTGGGGAGAGTGATGCCGAACATTGGAGAATCCAAATCCGAAAGGAGGAGGGTCTTACACCGTGTTATACAGTTTATCGTCCTCTACGCGGCACCAGTCTGGAGCGAGGCGGTAGAGATAACGGCCTATAGGAGTCTTATGAAACGAGTAGACAGAACAAGTCTGTTGCGAGTGGCATGCACCTACAGGACTGTGTCTGCGGCAGCCTTATGGACCATCACTGGATGTGTTCCGTTGCATGTTTTGGCGGTGGAAAGAAAAGAGCTTTATGAGAGAAGAGGCCCAAACCTTACTGTGGCTGAAAGAAGTCAGGTAAGGGAAAGGTCAGTTGAAAGATGGTAAGAAGAATGGAACAATACGTAGGATGTGGCACAGTGGACGAAAATGCTGATCCCTAACATAAGAGCTTGGGTGGACTGTGGTCACAGGCGATTGGATTATTTCCTGACGCAGGTGCTCACAGGACACGGGTGTTTTAGGGCCTACCTTTATAGGATCGGTAAGGCTGATACAGATGAATGCCTATATTGGGATACTCGGACACTGTGACACATACGATGTTAGATTGCAGCAGATTGGTAGTGGAAAGGAACAGAATGCAGAGAGAGACAGGTCTGAATTTTGTTACAGTGAGAGAAATGATTGAGAGAATGATTGAAAATAAATTAGGTTGGATTAACATACACAGTTATATCCGTGCAGTAATCAAAAAAAAGGTAGAGAAAGAAAGACAGCTGGACCAACGGCAAAGGTAAAGTGAATGATGCTGAAAGGTAAAGTTAGAACAGTGGTCACACTTTTTGAGTTAGAATGCGTGAGTTTGACTGTGGGGAAGGAGGAAATGCCCTTCCGGGAATGATGCCGAACTAGGAGTGTGGATGTGTATGAATGGAGAATGAATGAATAAAGGTAGTGCTTCGGAAGTGATACCGGCCTTACAGCGGCCATTCCGCTTCCGGATCGCTGGATGACAGAGGAGGGTCTGGTTTAGCAGGTAGGCGTTCGGCGTAGACTCGGCGACGAGAGGGCATTTTAAAGTACCTCGGGAACTATCGACGGGAGTACGAAGAACAAATCCTGCACTAAGGTAAGTCAGGCGACGTCCTGGACTGAGATGTCTTTTGAAGATTCCAGACCCCCCGCTCTATAAAGAGGAAAAAAAAAAGAAAAAAAAGGTCATGTCCCTTGGTTCTGGCGTGATGTGGTCTCCTCCAGTGAGAGAATTACGGGTCCATGTTTCTTGTCTGTTGGCCAACGCTTTAGTCTTCTGATAACTCGATGTTGAGGTATTGCGGAAATTAATGGATTGGAGTGTGTGTTCACTTTTTGAATGTATTGTAATTTCTGTTGCTGGTATACTTCTTTCACTGTTGAGATATTGATATCCTCATAGATTCTTTGGTTGGTTACGTACCAGGGTGCATCAACAATTGCTCTTAAGATTTTTGATTGGCATCTTTCCATAATAACAATATTAAATTTACTACTACAGCCCCACAGCTCTATGCCATAGTCCATATTGGTTTGTTTTACAACATAACTGTTTTATAAAAAAAACTAATAAATTCATAAAAATCTAGCAGAGCACTATGGTATATCATAAATATTACTTTGGAATTGTACTAGTTTTAACCGTAAGCCAGCAAAACCGCTCCCCTTAAGGGTGGTTTGGTGATAAAATATTAGAGTGGTAATAAATTAGTGAAAAATGGGTGAAAAAATTTTACGTAGGTTAAATTGGATTCCGCTCATTTGTCCCCGCTAGCTTAAGGGTCCTTTATATTAAATGTCTTTAGACTGTTCGATAAAAAAACCCACCTATAAATAATTTTTAAGTTTTAGAAACCATTATTTGCTTAGAGTATTTGTAATAAATGTCTCAAAAAGTGCAATTTTTATAATCAACACAGCAGCACATTATTTGCCACAATTTCGTTGATATTTCAAATGGTTTTCTGGTTATTACATGATAAATGTCACACAGTCCAATATAGAATTAAAATATGTTTGAACATACCAATATTAAAAACCCATTTTTTATTCGTAATGGTGTTTACCAACAATATTTGTATGTATAATAAAGTCTAAGTAACTTAATGGTATGTGTGGGAATATAATTATGAAACTTGTGCATTTTAGTGAACCGTTCGTTGTAATCAATTACAGCGGTAAAAATAAACACCCATTACAAAATAAACATTCTCTAACTATTATTCCTGTAAAATTAGACAGAAAGGGTCTTTTTACAGGATTTTGACAAAATATCACTTCCATTAAAGGCACAAATTGTGTTTAATGAAACTCCACTTTTACTTTCAGGAATTAATTAAAACAGAACGGGCTCGTGAACTAGAGCAACAAAGAGCGAGCGAAGAAGCAGCCGCTCGAGCTGCGACACTTAAAGAATTAGCAACCGGGAAACAGAAGACCCATGGGTAAGTCTCTATTTAATCAAATTAAAACATACCGGGTAGGCTAAAAGTTAGAAATAGATTTGCGGCTGTAAAACTAAAGAAAGTGATATAAAATTTGTCTACGGATTCTAAATTCTGTTCAAATTTAAATTTTCAACTTAAAAAATCTGAACAGAGTAAACTCTACTTTTACCGTAACTTATACTGAAAATTCATGAATATTATATCTGACGATTATGTTTTCCAACTGCCAAATTATTCATCAAAATGTGAATGTAATCTCATATTAACCATTAACTTTTAATTTTTCCGCTTCTAAAAAGTGTATTCATCATCATCATCTTTGGCTCGACAATCCTCTGTGGATCTTGGCCTGCTCTAAGATTTCGTCGCTATTCTGTTCGGTTTTTGGCAACATGTTGCCATCTTCTGATTTTTAATATTCGTAAGTCGGTTTCTACTCCATCTAATCACCTAATTCGCGGTCGGCCTTTGCTTCTTTTTCCTACAGGTGTTCCTGTGGTTAGCTTTTTAGCAATGGTATTTTCTGGCATTTGTATTATGTGTCCAGCCCATCTAAGTCGCTGTGTTTTAATGAACGGTATGGCATATGGCTCATCAAAGAGCTGATACAATTCAAAATTATATCTTCTGCGCCACTGCCCTTGGTCGTTTACAGCTCCAAATATTTTGCGGAGTATTTTACGCTCAAATATTCCCAAAAGTCTTTCATCTTTCTGCGTTAAGTCCATGTTTCTGCTCCATATGTGAGGACCGGCCTCAGCAATGTTTTTTATATAATAATTTTAGTTCTTCTTTGAATGTTTCTTGAGTGGAAATGCTTTTGGAGTCCATAGTATGCCCTATTTGTAAGATTTATTCGTCTTTTGATTTCTTCGCTTGTTTTATTGGTAGCAGTCAATAGCGACCCAAGGTATGTGAAGTTGTCAACACGTCCAAAGGTATGACTTCCAAAGACTGTTTCTCGTTCCTCATTTGCTATCGGATCCTTTGTAACCAACATGTACTTGGTTTTGTCTTCGTTGATGACTAGACCGACCTGTTTCGCCGCTGTTTCCAATTCTAGGAGATATTGCTCAACATCTCGCTTTGCTACGTCCTACTATGTCAATGTCATCAGCATATGCTAAGACTTGTATCGATCTATTGTAAATAGTAAAGTGGATTATTTTTCATTTTTAGCAACACTTGTTGAAGCGTGGTAGTAGTTTGTGCAAAAATGTTGTTACTTCTGTTTTCATTCATCTCTCCTTTTTTAATGGCATTCTACATAAGTAATGATTGTAAGTTCATTTGATTGTCGTTATTTAGGTCCCTGCCATTAATTGAAACAGACATCTGAAGCCAAATTCTTTACAGATCCATACAATTATGCCATTTTATATTATTTAAGTGACCGTCTTCGTAAAATCTTGCCTTCCTTGAATTTTTTTATTCTCTGTAAGCTGTTATAGTAAGTGCAAAACACTTACTTACTTACTTATACAGTGCATAGTACAATGCGTTTCGCATGGAAGTGGGAACTAAACCAAATTTCGTCTACTGCGCCGTGGTCAGGAGTCTTTCACTATCTCTACGCCCCTCGTATTACAGCCAATGGACTTATTGTAAATTTTTCATTATCTATCACACAAGTTCTTGAGACTTCGGTAGACGTTTACGCTGATATACACCTCTCGTTTGGGTAGCGCAGAAGTCGCAGCGCAATCTCACCGTATGATGAGTCAGTTGAGGTTGACGTGTCTGGTGATTTAATGACTGACCATGGTGTGTGTAACAACTAAGATTATCACAGAGGTTGCTTCAATTTTCTGAGGTACTACGAAGAGAAGTCTCCTGGCTTTTCGTTGCTTCATATATAGGTCGTTTCTATATCCCTAGGCTATTACGTTACTGTATTAGCCAACTAGTTGAAAGCATTTCATTTCACTTTAAACTATAAGTGCTTAAATGTGTTCCGAAAGATTTAAGCGGTTAGTACCACTAACCCTAGAGCTAAGCTTAATACTACTACAAGAATTAATATTAACAAGTTGACTGCCAGCCTCTTTTTCCCTGCATTGCCAAAGAGTCATTTGAGTACCACATATGGTACTCAGTCAAAAATAACTTCAAATACTGAGGCTATATATAGTACTCAGTATAACTTATAAAACTGCATGCAGTCACTCGGCTTTATATTGTATATGAGAAATTGAAGTTTTGGCCTCAGAAAACCGTTCCATGATTTAGCGTTGCTAGATGGTATTATACTTTTGATTTTATCAAAGTGTAATAAAACGCTTTTTTAGCTTAAATATTTATTTAACAAATAGCGTAACTCTAAAAAACGCTACAAAAAAATAGTCGACAACTTAATATAAATGCTAATAAAGAAAAATTACTGTAATTTTGCAGAATGCACCTTAAAAAAGCAGTCAGGACACAAATATTTGGCGCAAGCAAAACACTTTGTCCACACACTGGGAGTTTCCTTTTGTGCTGTTTGTCTTCCATGCCTGTTAACAATATTCTTATAGCATTGGTTGCTGCGGTTTCTTTTTAGACATTTTACTAAATTGTATAAATTATTAGCAGGCATTACACAATCGCGTTTTATATTCATCTCTCTAAATTCTGTTATTTTCATTGATTTATTTGTCACTTTAGAATAAAGTGACAAGCATTTACACGGCAACATTTAGTAAAGAAGGCATTTTTTCGGTAACATTTCAATGACCTCCTTGAAAATGAATTATACGAACTCATTTGATCCGATACATCTATGAAGGATTTTCCTGCATTATCTTCTACTATAACCTGTGGTTTAAGTTTGTCTTCTCTTCTTTGTATCACATTACCATATAAGGCATATGCTTTGAACTTATAGCAAGCACATCTCGCCGATCCTTCCACTTTAAAACCATTACACCATTATAATTTTGCCTTGCAACAATATCACCTTTTTTAGTTTTATTTTAATTACATCATTGGATTGCGTTTCCTATTGGCTCGAAGTGTCCCTACTAAAAAGGTTTGTCTATCCAGTAATTTTTCTGCCAAAGTGACAGTATTATACCAGTTGTCCGCATATAGTGTTCTACCAAAATCTAAATATGGCTCCATTAATTCCATAACCACTTTAGAGGATACAGATGTACCAGGCTGAGCTTCCTTTCCAGCATAAACTTTATACTGCAAAGTGTAAAAAGGGTCGGTGCACAACTTAAAATTTTAACCCCATACCGATGCCTTTTGTTTTGCAGGTACTGCCTAAAACTTAGCCTACCTTGAAATGGTACCATCGACTCATCTATGCACAGTGACATTTCGGAATTACACAGTGATTAAACTTATCCACTAGCAAGTCAATAAGGGGCTGAACCTTGTGAAGCCGATCTCCGAGGACCTGTGTTGAGTTATCCGAAATATGAAAAATGCTGAAAATAAATATAAATTTTAGTAATTAAAACCTAAATATAAAATGTTATAATAGTACCTCAAAATCAACTCAAATCAGTGTGTTTTTCAATAATGAGCCAGAGAGGGTATATCTACTAAACCCATCCACATAAGTATGCTTAAAAAGGTATGCATTTCTTGTCGATTTGTCAGTACCCAGCTTTTAATTCTTGCACTATTGGGTCTTCCAAGACATTGTTGAGCATAATTGTTTGTTTGATTTACTAACAGAGATACCACTTCTTCATCAAAAAACAAACAAAAGAAATCAAAAGGGCTGGCATCTTGCATTAAAAGGCACAGATTAAAGCTGAAATCTAAATTTGGTTTAGAAAATTAGTTTCCGGATATTTAAGATTAGTTTAAGTAAATAAAATGTTATATTCATCATCATCAATGGTGCTACAGCCCTATGAAAGAGCCTCGACCTTCCCAAATCTATTACGCCAGGCAGTCCTATCCATTGCCAACCGTTGCCAGTTTGCTGCGCCTATCTTTCTACATCCTCATCTACACCATCCTTCCATCTGAGTTTGGCCTACCCCTTTTTCTACTTCCCACGGGTTGTGACATAAGGATTCTTCTAGGAGGGTTGTTCTGCTGTGATCTTGCTAGACGTCCTGCCCATCTTAGTCCTCCTATTCTTATAAGAGATACTATGTCTTTACCACCAAATATTTGTTTATATCTGTGGTATACCTCGTAGTGTGATATTTCAATAAAATGTTATATTGAAATATCAAATCTACCTGCATTTTTTCAAGATTAATTTAGGTTACCACGAAAAAAGTCATTAAGGGTATTAGTAGAAAGTAGAAAGTCTTTGTCTCATATTTTTGTACACAATTATGGTAATTGAAAAGTGTTGGCGTTTGGAGAATTGAGTCGAGAATGTTGATTGGTCAACAGAAAATTATGATAGGGATTGGGAGACAAGAATGATTTTTGAAGAGAAAAAGGGATTATCTGCTGTTGGACGAGAAGTGAGGAAAGATCAAATCGACAAGTGTGCGTTTTTTTTTGAACGTTGAAAGAAAAGTATAGATTTTGTAAAAATAGTAGTGTCAGTAAGTTTTGAAAGTTGCTTTGATGTTGTTTTGTTGCCGGATGAAAAGGGTGCAGAATTCTACTATTGATATTAGAAGGGAAAATAGAAGTAAATACAGGACCAGGACGCCGCCGAATATCCTGGCTTAAGAATTTGACACAGTGGACAGGTATGACCACCACAGACATATTTCGAACAGCTGCTAATAAGATACCATGGGCCATGGTGGTAGCCAACATCCATAGAAAATAGGCACTAGCACAAGAAGAAGAACAAATTATTATTCGCGGAGGGAATCGTAGTTAAACAGATAGGGGCAACCCCAAAAGAAGATAGAAACGTGAATCAGGACGTTCTTTTGATCGACAGGACTGTTTTTATAAGCCGAACCAGGAAAGGAGTTTATTCGATAGAGAGTTAATTAAAGTGAATCATTTTCATAAAGTGCAGAGAAAAATTTATAGAGACGAGACAATAGATTGGACTAATGTTCCTTGTATGTGAAAGCTAT